ATGATTGCAAATGGAATGTAAAAATTGAATAAAATATTTTACACAAAAAAAAAAAAAAATAAGAGGACATTGCCAACTAGGAAGCCGGAGGCACTGTTTGTCTCTTTCCAGGCTGTTTCCCTAGTAAAAAAGGTTACATCCACCACCATTGGCAGATGATTGCGAGCCTGCATTGCTTCAGCGCATCAGTCACAGGATACTCGGGTACCGGGAAGGATAACTGCCCATTCCACTAGAAGCGCGGCCACCTTGGTCGCCTGGGCGAATCAAGCCTCCTTGTCTGAGATTTGTAGGGCAGCTACGTGGGTGTCTCCTTCCCCCTTTATAAAAAGTTATAAATTGGACACCTTTGCATCGGCGGAAGCTGCCTTTGGAAACAGAGTTCTTCATGAACCCACCCAGGGGACACCTCCAGCTTTGGTACGCCCTAATCTGAATGCTACCTCCAACACTATGGAGAAAGGGCGTTGGTCCTTACCTGATGGGCCTATTCTCATGGTGTGAAGATAGCATCCAGCCCCTCCCTCAGAGTGCTGGTCTTTGCAGAATGTTATTAGCATATTAAGCTATTTATACCGACGTCGTCACAGGATCAAATCAAAGACCTTGACAACTTACCTGGAGAACATGACACATTGAGTCTGACGGAAGTCCTTCGCCAAACGTTGGGTCTGCCTAGCGACAGGGCCATGGCTTAACAGTCTTATCAGACTCAGTCCAATCAATGAGTGGTCAACCCAGTTACCTCCACACTATGAGAATAGGTGTATCAGGTAAGGACCAATGCCCTTTCTCTGGTGCAGCAAATGGTGCAGCTTGTTTGGCTCATTTATGGTGGATCCAAGTCTTGATTCTCACTACCTTGGGAGAAGTGTAGGTTGATAACCACACCTGGTAGGACCCTCCCCACTTAGGTTGCAAGGGATCATCCTTTGGACTTCACCAAAACCCAACCCTCAGCTTCAGGAGGATGAATAGCCTGGTCCAATCCACTAGGCTCAATCCAGCCAGAAAAGGTATCACTAAACAGAGTTCTATTTTTTTGATAGTTCAGGGACACCAACCTCTTAAAAATGCCTTAGTGCTGCTCCCCAGATCTGAACCCCCCCCCCCCGGGTTTATTTTTTCCTTTTGGGGTTGGCACCTCACACATTCTCATGCTAGCCATGTAGCATCCATATACACTCCTGGATATAGAAACAACCGCACCATGGAAATACCCAGAATGTCTCTTCCATGTGAGTCGTATCATGGAGGTATTTAATCACATGCCTAGCTACAGTTCCTGGGAGAACTATAGAATGAAGTAAGCCTTATCAGCCACCAGATGTCAGTGTAGCTCCCCTCAACTTTGCTCAGACTCCTTCAGCTGGGTGTAAACTGGTCTATCAGGAAGTTCAAAGGAGGGCATTAAAGACAGCTGTTTCTCTCCAGAGGTTGACTTGCAACAGCCTTAGCTGTCCCATCTGCTCTCCTGTTTCCTTTGGCTATTTGCATGTCTTCCCTGGAATGGGCTCTAACATGCATTACAGCTACCTCAGCAGAAGCACCTCAACTGCTTTCACCATGGCTAAAATTTCTTCTGATGTTTGATCTTTGCATCCTTCACAGTTAACAGTCCTCTTTCTTTCCACAGTGCTCCATGTACATGCAAAACTCTAAAAGCTTACTTGCTGTCTGTATAGGTGCTGATTTTCTTACCCTGACCCAAATGTAAGGCTTTCATGAGGGCAATCCTTTTCAGCGGAAGTATTAAGGGGAAGAGGGTGGGCCACAAGGTGACTACTACATATCCAGTAGGGATATCCAGTAGTATCCAGCTCTTATAAAAAGTCAGCACCCACCCACCCACCTTCCTAGAGAATGAAATATTTTGGGGGATAATAAAAAGGCAGGAGAAATGGGAAAAAATCTTAAGGGAAGCAGAAACCTGCCCCAGTCTCCCAGCCCCACGCAGGAACTGAGGAGGCCAGCTTTTAGAAATGCAGATTTGGTAATCCGTTCAGAAAGACTGGGCCAGACAGAAACTCCAGATAAGCAATTAAGTTGACAAGATTAACTTAGACAAACGCCTAGGTCCTAGGATTTGCATTTCCCCTTCTGCCTATAGAGCCAGCCACAACCCCATAGCAATCTGACAACAGCCATTAGAATATTAAAGGACATGTTCTTGCACAGGAACAGGAAGCTCAAACACAAAGCCCAAAGGTGTAAAAATCCACATTCCTCATGGTGAATTTGATGTGTTATTTCAAAGAACCAAAAACATTAATCAAAGGCACTCCTAGTTACTGAAAACATTACTCAAGAAGGCCCCTCTTTCCTGCTCCCATCACCTTCATCCAGATCATGAAACTTCAAAGAAAAATCGCTGTAGGTCCACTCAACACTTGAGAGCATGTGTGTTGTGGCCTGTCAGCCGCTGTCCCCTCCAGCAGCCAAATCAGAGGAGGAGGTGGTGTGGGAGCCAAGGTCAGAAGGCAACCTGGGAGTTCTGAGGGGGAAGAGGGAATGGGGCTGGCAGAGAGACAGAAGCGGAGCCTGGATTGTCCGTCAGCTCTCAGATGGAGAGTCAACAGCCTCCAGGTCTGAATGTCTGATGAGGAAGAGGAGGAACAGCTGGGTCCAGTGCCTGACACAGTGGACGAGAGCAGTGGAAATCCATGGGCTGGTCCTTGGGACGGAAGCCCCACTGCTGCTAGTGAAGGCCCACCCTAGCTTTGGTGATAAAAGGCAGGGGGTGGAGAGGAATAGATGTGGCAGACAACTATTCATCTTCTGGCAGGCCGGACTTGTTAGCCTGTGTTGAGAGAGAAACTTTTTGCTAGAGTTGTTGGCATTCCTAATAAACGAATCTTTGAGTTCACTTCAGAGGGTTGGTCGTGTTTGGGGAGCTGGGTCAAAACAATGTGTCTCTCTTCAATTCCTGTCCAAAAGAATCAAATGAGGGGTGTGAAGTCAGGAATGTACTACTTTGGTGCCATTGTCAGATGCCTAAAAGTGATACTGCCATTCAATTGGGAGGAGGGGAGCCTCGGAGTTAAATCATTAGCTACATCTGAAACAACTGAGTTTTACCACTTTACAACCGGTTTCCTGTCACCGGGAGACTGAAGGTCCCAACATCTCTGGAGGGATGTTTATGGTAGCCATGTGGGATATATAACTTTGATGTCTAACTAGAGATAGCCATGGGAACGTGTGCTTTATTGACTCCCAGGGCAGAAGAGTTAAGGAAGCATCTTCACACTTGTGTATCGGTCAGAATCTTCATTCGGACAAAGGGGAAGGGTCATTATCAGTTTAATCCCATTTGCAAGGCCTAAAGGTTTTCAGATGCTGCTTTGCTTCTAATGATTTCCATCCTGCTTGATTAAAGGTTCCTTTTGAAATAATCCGTTTCAAGAGTCTTTACTTTCTCAAGTTAGGAGAGGAGTCATTACAGCCATTTTATATGAACTGTGTGTGGATTTAATAATGCCGGAGTATATTCTCAAATCCCATGGACATTTGGAAGAAGGAAGTATTCTTTTCCTCTTAGTTAGCCAAAGCTGCAAAATTACATTTCGGCACCATTGCTGTCCATCTGATATTATAATACTTATTGAGGAGTAAATCTGTGTTATTTGATTGTACAGATCCCGTCTTGAAATCTCTGTGAAATGATGAGAATGCCCCAAATTTCTATAGCTCAACGAGGAAAACTAAGTATGTGTAAGGACTTTTCTGTTAGGCTCATGTGTTATACATGATGTTCCTTTTGAAAATAGCAGATGAAATTGTCAGACATGCTTTGGATCAATTATTTTTTTACCATGAATAGGTACAGATGGGATTTAACGACGATTTGGATGGTAACTTCTAAGAGTCACATAGACCTTTGAAATCCTATGTTTATACTCATGTCTCCGCATCATGATACAGGTAAGAACACAAAAATACTGTATATTATTTTTAGCCTGCAATGCCTAAACATGAGTTGATCTGAGGTTTTCTTGGCAAGGCTAGTTACTCATGGTGTCACAAAGATCCCATGGAATCCCCACTGGCTGAATGCCACTGAAGAGTTGCTCCTGCTCATTCCCAAGAGAGTGGCATCTCTTAGGAAGCCCTCTGGCACCAAAAGCCCTAGGAAATTTTAGTGGAATTACTTTAAGATCCACTTCTGTATTCCATATAATCAAAGAATCGTAGGGCTGGAGGGGACCTTGGAGGTCCTCTAGCCCAACCCGCTACCCAAGGAGGCCTTATATCATGGAAAACGTCTACTCTTAGAGCACCCATTAACAATAAACTTTATCATTAGTGTTAAGAAAATAATGTATTAAATTTTATTCTTTTTTGTCCATAAATCGACAGGAAAAGGTGCTTGAAGGAGAGGGTACTACCGGGGCAGCCATGATTCCCCTGAAACCAACAGCCAGTTCAAAGGACTTAGAGGCTGCAAACACCTCCACTGACAACAACCTCCCAGAATCATGGAATATCTTACAACCACCATCAATGAATCAAGAAGGATGTCAACCACCCTTCCCTGCACAGCAATGTATTAGAATTAATTGGGTTTTCCGGTTTCTCTTAATCTTTTCTTCCTTGACGAAATTATAAAGATATGAAATGATTATTATTGTTATTATTTAAATATTAAACGTATTCCATGTATGGGGCAGAAGAACCAGGATGGCGGAAGTCAATGTGTGGAGCCCTAAACTCCTTCACAGGAATTCCACCCACTCACTGGCATAGTTAGGGATGATTCTTGCGTCAAGATTAAATCACAGGAGGTGGAAGCCTTCACAAAACACATCAACTCTGTGGACAGATACGTTAAGTTCACATGGGAAGATGTTACGGAAAACAGTCTGTATTTTCCTGGACTATGCAGTACACACTAAGGAAGACAGATGTCATAACATTGAAGTTTATAGAAAACTAACACACACACACACAAATCAGTATTTGGATTTGGATTCTCACCACCCACTGGAGCACACTGGGCTGAACGTTGCTGAGCAGTGAAGAGAGACATGAAAAAGAACTAAAACACATCAAGGAAGCCTTCAGAATACATGTGAGAATGCAAACTAGACCTTTAGCAAATCCAAACAAAGACCAAGCAGGAGCTCCTCCATTACAGAAAAAAAGAGGACAACAAATAGCAATAGCAATAGTAGTAGACTTATATACCGCTTCATAGGGCTTTCAGCCCTCTCTAAGCGGTTTACAGAGAGTCAGCATATTGCCCCCAACAAGCAATGTTGTCATTCCAAATGTTGCAGGAATATCTGAAAAGCTCAGGAGGATTTTCAAACAACACAACATACATGTACAGTTCAAATCCACAAATATACTAAGGCAGAAGCTTGTCCACCCCAAGGATAAAACACCTAGACACAAATTGAGCAATGATATATGTAATACAGTGCAGTGAGACATGTGCAGATCTGTACATTAGAGAAACAAAACAACCATTTCACAAAGCATGGCACAACTGAGGAGAATAAACCATCAGGACAAAATTCAGCAAGCCATCGGCATTTGAAAGACAAAGAGCACTCATTTCAAGACAGAAAGCTCCACATTTTGGATAAAAGAATAATTGGTTTGAAATAGGGGTAAAAGAGTCTCCATCTATGCTAGAATTGAACAAGTCTCAATCAACAGAGGGGGAGGAATAAGACACCACTTATCTCCTGTTTACATCACAGCCCTTTCAGCAATTCCAAGAAGATCCGACAACCATTTGCACTCTGATTCAGGTGACCCTGAGGGCACAGATAAGCCCCCAAGTGGCCTCAATGGCTCCCAGAGAGAGTGCTAACAAAGTGCAAAGAAATACAACAATTCCCTCCCATCCTGTCAGAACTATCCTTTCATCCCTGTACCATCCGTTCAAAACTAATGAAGCTTCTTGAATAAGAAGGAAAACATCTTATTTGTCTTAAAAGAAAAAAATAGTGTAGTTGCCTTTTGAAAAAGCACTTTTGATACATCTAAGAAAGGTTGGTTACAAACAGCAATGTTCCTTATTAGTACTATTGAGAAAGTAATGCACATGTCATTTATTTCATTTTACTTTTGTTGTTCAATCTGCGTCCACAGGGCAACACCCAGTCAGAGGAAGTAGAGACTGCAAACACCTCCGCTGACAGCAACCTCCCAGAATCATGGAATACCAAAACAACTATCATCAGTGAATCAAGTGAATGTCAGCCATCCTTTCCTGTACAATAATGTGTCGGAATTAATTTAGTTTGCCTGTTTTTCTTAATCTTTTCTTCCCTGACTAAATTGTAAAGATCTTAGATGATGATTATTGTTGTGATTTAAAAATTAGGCAGATTCCAGCCACGCTGCAGAAGAACCCAGATGGTGGCAGTCAGTGTGTGAACTCTTGGCCTTAGTGGCTGCAAAATTTAAGCAAACTTGTGCAAAGAAAATCAGGACCTGGTTGAAGGCAGAACTATTGAGTGCTTATTAGCTGACATAATGGTTGGGGATGGGTGGGTTTGACCTTGGGATGGTTGGCTTTGGAGGGAAACCACCAACCACTAAAACTAGCCACCCACCTCTTGTTTTTTTCTTTTTTAATATCTTACAGAGATATTAATTTATTATTGTTAGAGTGGCATCACCACGAGTTATGGAGCCCTAGGGCAACGAAAACCCCCAAAAGTTTGGTAATAGTAATTTAAGGTCCACAACTTTATTCCAAATAATAACCCTTATAATTATTATTATTCAGAAAAGGCAGGCACAACATACAACTGTGTATTAATAATTCAGCTGTGGAGGTGGTTAGTAGTATCAAGTTTCTGGTTGTGCAGCTGATGAGCAGGTTAGCTTGGTCACTCAACAGTGAGACACTGGTGAAGCGGGCACAACATGTTCTGTGTCGTATGAGAAAAGCACACCTTCCTTCCGCTGTCCTTACCACTTTCTATTCAGAGACAATTAAAAGCATCCCATGGTATTATAATATTGTGTGGTTTAAAGGTATTACTGTTTTGGACAGGAAGGCCTTGCAGAGAGTGGTAAGGATGGCAGAAAAGATTATTAGAAGCTCACTTCCTTTTATCCAGGGCATGGCATTTATGCAATGCTTAACCAGGGTTGGCAGGATTGTCTGGGACGCTACACATCTTTCCATGACTGGTTTTCTTTGTTACCTTTTGGGAGGAGGCTTCACAATATCCGAAGTAGAAAAACTAGATTAAGTAACACCTTTGTACCATGTAGAGCAACCTTGTTAACTCTCAAGGCTCTTTTTTCCACTAAGTAATGGACTGTGATTAATGTATAAGTTACTATGTTTTATTTTCCTTGTGTTCTTCAATACCCAGGAATAGGTATTGCAATGGGAGAGTGTTGCCATGACAATTATTTATCAGCTTGGCTGGCTCAGATAAGAATGGGAAATGAAATAAGTCCTGATTTGACAAAAACACCAGAAGGACCTTCCTCAACACCTATATAGCATTTGGCAATTTTTAATATTATTTCAATTATTAGGTTTTATTAATTCTGTCCCTTATTTATTAATATAATTTAAATATTAAATGTATTCCTGTTATCTCCCAGGAGTTGGACAACTTGGACCTTGAGGAAGAGGTTCCAGTAGAACCATGGAATGTTAGCCTAAGGAGACACAAAACCAAGGCTGTTCTGTGAGATCAGCAGCAGCAGCAGCAGTCAATTGATTTAGATGATGTCAGGCCTCCTAGAAAGCAGACTGGAGACCGAGCAACATAGTTCTATTAGGCATCTCTCGAAGAAAGAGAGTAAATCTTTTATTGATCACAGCTGGCTGCAGCCTGATTTAAGAAGCAGCTCTGACTCATGTTCCCTTTGCTGGAAACAGTATCTAATCTCTGGGTCTTGCATGATATCCCTATTTGTGTAAGAATCCTTGAGCCTCTAACTTTTGGATTGATGGACAACCCTGACCCAGCTCTTGGAGTTTTGGTCTGTTTTTGGACTATTCTTCTGCATGCTCCTATTTCAAAGCAATTCAGAGATTTGGTTTTGGTTTGCAGGCTATTATCTCTTGAACTTGAGTCAACTGAGAAATATCAATTATTTGTGGGTTGCAATCAGGACAGTTTGTTTCGGCAGACGGTGGCTTCACTGCCAACATCAGTGGAGTCGATCTTGACGATCGCTGGATGGTGCCATACAATCCTGTCCTGTCTCGCACTTTCTCAGCTCATATAAATGTTGAGTACTGCAATTCAGTTAAATCCATAAAATACATCTGCAAGTATATTAACAAATGGTCTGACCAGGCAGCATTCACCATTGAAGATCTGGACCAGGTGACGAGGTGTGAGGCAGGACAATACATCAGCAGCTCTGAAGCAGCCTGGGGCATTCTCTGCTATCCTAGTCACAAAAGGTTTCCTCCTGTTATGCAACTTGCCGTACATTTCAAAAATGGACAAAGTTTATTTTACTGAGGACAATGTTGTTGAGAGGATCAATAACCCTCCAAAAAAACACTTCTGGCCTATTTTGAGCTGTGCAAAGTTGATGCTTTTGCAAGGACCCTTTCATATTGTGAAGTTCCAACTTACTACATATGGAAAGGCAACCAGTTCTGCAGGAGGAGAAAAGGGAAGCCTGTACCAGGTTATCTGGGGATGAAGAAATATTAGTGAAGTTTTGGGTGGAGTGTACACCGTCCATCCCAGTAATGCCTCCTCTTGCACGAGATCCGTGGCCCCATGTCATTTACTGCCCTAAAAACTGTGGCAGGGGTACTTCAACTGACATTTCAAGCAGTGTGCAGTGCACTTAGCTTGCTGGAGGGCGATGCTCACTGGAAGAAGCCTCCATCTCTGACTTTCCTAACAAAATCTGTGAGCTGTTTGCCATCATGTTGGTTTTCTGCCAAGTTGGAGATCCCCTAAAATTGTGGGAGAAATACAGAGACAGTCTTGCGGAAGATGTTAGATGGCTAATGGAGAGAGCGTGTGGAAATGCCCAACTGGTCCTCCAACGTTCTTGATTAATCTGTTGCTGGCCAAAATTAGGGCTGGAGTGTGTTAATATAAGGCAACTGACAGTTGGAACAGAGTTCTTTTCAGGTGGGGAAGGGGAGTAGAACTCCTTAGTATTAGAGCAAGTTAATTATTGTATTAAGAAATAGTAATGATCTGATGGTCATTTTGAAAAATCCTTTCTTAGCAAGCACCTAGAAGCCAAGAGGAACATACATGCTAAATTTAAAGTTTGTAGGGAACTTTAGATCCTGCTTTCTTTTGTCTTGCAATCCCTCTCCTTCAATAAAAGGTTCCTTTTGAAATGCTGATGTTTCAAGAGTCTTTACTTTCTTGAAAGGAGAGGAGAAGCAGACCCTTACACAATCATTTCATTTCTATTAATAAGAATGAAATCCAGTACAGCTGACCATCTAGTTTCCTCCTCTACCTTTTGGGTAACAAGGTTGTCAGCCAGGCATGTGAGGAATGGCATATGCCATTCACTGCAGAATTTGTTTCACAGTTAAAGTCCCCCTTTAGTACTGTGGTATATGTTCTGCACACCTAGGTTAACTGAACAGCGAAGAGTTCATCTATTTCCTCAGCTTGGTTGGATGGCCTGTAGTAAACAACTCAATTTCATTTATTTCCCCCCTAATATTTACCCAAATACTTTCAAGGAGGCTTTCATCCTTGGTATCAAATAATCACTGAAGGAAATGTGGTGTAATTTCTCTCTCTGCAGGTTGCTGTCATGATGTTCTTCTCCATTCTTGCTGTTTTTCTTGTGGCCATTATACAAAGGCACCAATATCAAATGTATTTCTGCAAGAGACCAACAAGTGTGTTGAGTTTCTCATGAAGTATATAATCTGCTTTGCATTCCCCAATAGATTATTTAACTATGCATTATGATACTCCTTTTGTGCAACTATACTTCATGTGATGGTTAGAAATTATTTCTGACAATTTCTATGTATGTAATAATTCATTTCATTGTTATGAATGGTATATGTAAACATTAGAAATGCCTTTTGTCATTTTTAAACATTTGATTGTAAGCATTATGTACAATATATACAGTATAAACACTACTGTTCAAAAACAAACCAAAATGACAGAATTTGTCAAAGTGTGAAAATAAATTGGAAAGAGTTCAATTTCAATCAATATTTTTCTGGAAATTACACTAGATTGCAGATTTTCTCTAAAAGATAAACTAGGAACATTTCTGTCCTGCTGTCTGCAGCCCACACTCACCTAAAAGACCAACAGTCATGGCCATAAATTGGAACTTGTAAGTCTAGAACCCAGGATTACGTTCTTCTCTTTGTAGGCGTATATTTATTTATTAGATGTCTATGCTGCCCATCACACTGTTAAGTGAATATAACTAAAACAATATCATAGCACAGTGATTCTCAACATTTTCTTCACCATAGACCCCCTTTAAATACATGTTGTGGCCACAGACGATGGCACCACCCCCCGCCAAGACTTACCTCAAGATTTTAATAACATTTCTTCAAGCCTTTGTCAAACCCCTGTGATGACATTGCAGCCCCCAGGGGTCCGTGGACCACAGCTTGTGAACCACTGTCTTAGCATCAAGCCGAACATGTGGATCCATAAAATGAGCTCATGCCATGATAATCTAGAAACCCACTGCTAGTGAAACTCTGGTGGTTTAAAGAATTGGCTGTGCTTGTTTTATTATGTGTGAAACCGAAGAGGGCATTTTAAAAAGAATACTAAGAGATGCAGGCCTCCCATCTTCCTCCTGCTCAGAGCTTTGGCTGCTCAGGTGAGCTAACAGGCTCCCAACTGCCGATTCCAAGGAGGTGCTTAGGAGGGTAACTGCCATGCCAGGCTGGCAGATGGGTTCCTGGAAGGTTCTGGATCAGTCTGCCACAGCAAGATGGCTGATGTGATGCCCTCTGTGACCAGAAACACCCTGCTTAGTGCTTTGGAGGAGAGACGACGGCAGCAGCAGAAGGTGGTCTTGGGGTGGGGCTGATGCCTCTTTTTCCAGAGGTGGCAGTCCTTCTAGGCCCTGGCATCCCAGCCTCAGAGGATTGGTGGGTTTCGGTTTGGCATCTGGCCTAAACCTGACATATTGCTGAGTCAGTAAGTTGCACTTATTGAATCCCACAGCTTGGTGGGCTGTCAAAACCTAGCCAGTAGGGTTCTTTGCAGCTGGCCCAATTGGCCATATTTTGGCTGAGAGGGCTGCCCCACAGAGTCTGCGGATGGGAGACCACTTGGAGATCCCAAGACTGTTGGCTAGCCGCTAGACTGGAGAACCAATCCTGGAGGAAGGCCATGCCTGGATGTGTCTGGAAGTCAAGTTTCCCCTGGTTCCCCTTGCTCTCTGTTTTACTCTCACCTTGAAGGTTTCTCTGACCTCCTCGGCTTCAGACGGGTTTTTCTCTCCCTCTGGAGATTTCCGGGGGTCCTTTTCTGCTGGTCAGTGGCCATCAGAAAGGCCATTTGTTCCTTTTCATTTTCCCTGCTCTGGCCCAAAACACAGGGATCTCCAAACTTGGCAAATGTAAGACTTGCGGACTTCAACTCCCAGAATTCCCCAGCCAGCAGCTTTAAATTCACAAGTCTTAAACGTTGTCAGGTTGGGATACTCCTGCATTAGAGCATATAAAACTATATGTATAGAACATGGTTTATGGCCTAGCGTCATGATGGCGATGGTGGCATGCGTAGCTCTCTCTGTGGGCATGCGAGCCCTCACCCAGCTCAGCTCTATTGTGCATGCGCATGTGCTTCTGCTGGCCAACTGATTTTTGCATTTCTGACGCACTTGTGGGAGATGTGCATGCATTGCATGCACAGGGCGAGGGAGGAGCATGCTCCTGTTTTTGGTGCCAGGAGGCTTCAGGGAGTGCCTCTGGAGCCCCGGGGAGGCCTTGTTCACCCTCCCAGAGGCTTGAGGAAAACCTCTGGAGCCTGGGGAGGGCAAATAACGACCCTCCCAGAAGCTCCAGATGTTATATACTATTACCATTACCAACACCAGAAGTCTGGAAATGGGCCTGTTTCTGGCCTCTGGAGCCTGGGGGAGCCTGTTTTTGCCTTTCCAGAGGCTCGAGGAAAACCTACTGAGCCTGGGGAGGGCAAAAACGTCCCCGTCCACTGTGGCACAGGAGGCCGAGTAGGCCACTTGTGTGTATGGAGGCGCACGGCATCTGCAGGGGTGGGTGGGTGGGCACATTGCATTGTGGGTGCGTGCAGGAGAAAAGGTTAGCCATCACTGGCCTGAATCATTGGATTCAGCCCTTGGCTGAGTTTGACTCAGATTAATCAGGGCACAGCCACCTATTCCAGTGTGCAAGAACATCTGCAAGACATGAAAAAAAGTGCCAAGATTATTGCTGCCACATCTTGGGGCTTCAACCATGTAGTAGCAACCACTATCTTGATTTTTTTGGCCCTCTCCTATTTAGACATGTCTGCCATTCGCTTTGATTTGCGTGACACACGGTACTATAAACTCACTACAAATTGCCCTAACGTTAGGGTAAAATCCAACTGCTTCCTTGGTGGTTCAGTGTGCTGAGGACAGAGGGTTGACCCTCCTAAGATGGCTGTTTTCCCTTTTGAGCACCCAGCTTTCTTTCTAGAGTGTTGCTTTGTTTTTCCTGTATCCTGTATTTTGATGGGTTTTGGGGAAACGTACCAAAATATCTATAAAGATAAGTGACAGATTATTTCTGCAACATTGCATTTTTGACAGAGCTTCAAACAGTGGGGGAAACCAAGCCCTAAAGCATAGAAGCTAAATCTTCTGGTGCTTTCCCCCCCACAGAAATATCTGCTTCACCGGCTGATCTTGGTTGCGATGCTGCAAGAAAATGCCAGTGAGGAGGAAATCACAGGTATTGCAGTCAGTCTCACCACGGCCTTCAAAAGACTTACTAAAGGTCATGAAGTCCCTGGATGCTCCCAGTGAGGGAAAGGTTCCAAGATCTTACTGAAATCTGTGCTTGCCCTGGGATATTTGTTTGTTTATTATATTTATATGCTGCCCTTTCCCCCCGAAGGGGACTCAGGGCGGCTCACAACTCAAACCAGG